GGGGGGGGGGGGGGGACAAAAAGAGGCCACTGTGGGGAAAAGAAAGTTCTCTTTGGGGTTTCTCCCGGCAGCCCAAGTACCCCCGAGACGACCACCTAGTTCGATGGTACTTATCTCGCGTTATTGAGAGATAATTCCTTTCCGTTTCACCTTGCAGTAAAATAAGAAGTGTTAGGGGGAATGCTGCGGTAAGGTGAAATGCCAAATATTAGGATTAAACAGATTAGCACACCTAAGATGTCTTTTTTTTTTTGCCAAATGTTTTGCACGTTCGTTGGACCACCATTTGGTTATTTTCTTTGTTTTTCCTTATCGTTCAACTTTCCATTATATAAAGCTGTCAGTATTATTTTAGTTCGGAAATATTTGGGGATATCTCCTTTTGCCTTTCCACAGGTGACCTCGGTTTTTATTATCAGTGTCTGTCTGATCTTCGTTAATTTGTAACAACACTGTTATCTTACACCAATCGCTGTCATGACATAACAAAGCCGAAATTTCTGGAGGTCATATCTCAGTGTATCCAGAGGGAAAATATTCGTCTATCATGTTATATTGAATTTCACGCTTTTGCCTTGCGCTTTGCGCAGAACTTTCTTCAATAGGAAGAGATGTCCAGCTTAACAAATGGAACGACTTCAAATGATGAAACGACGACTATTTATTTGTCTGAAACGGCGGTCGGAATCCAATCCACAGCGATACTTTTACTTACGGTGGCCTCTTTGATGTGTAACGCCTTAGTTGGATATGTGCTCATGAAAGATCCCGAGCTACTATCGCATTCATCGGCAAGAAAACTACTTGTGAACTTGACCGCGTCTAGTTTTTTACTCTCCTTGACAGTTTTTCCGTTTGTAGTCGGTTCAAGTATAAAGCAAAAGTGGATATTTGGAGGCGAATGGTGTCAAATCAGTGGATTTCTTACTGTGTTATTCTCATCGTCTTCTTTGGGCATGGTTATGTTTTTGAGCATCGACCGCTATCACTGTATAGTAAACCCGTTAAATTACAACTCAAGAATGTCACCGACGCGTACAAACTTTTTCATTGCGTGTAACTGGCTGGCATGTTTGTTTTTAGCGTTATTGCCTTTAGTAGGATGGGGTAAATATGGATATCAATCTGCCAAAGTTTCTTGCACTGTCATATGGAGTGACTCGATGAGCGAAGGATACAGCAAACTTTACTGCATAGTGACGCTTTTTATTCCCCTATCGGTCATGATATGGGCATATTACTACATACTTAAAGCAGCAAGAAGACATGCCAGAGTCGCAGTAATAGCCGTGTTACCCGCATCGGTGTCAGGGCTACGAACAGCAACCCGTACGACAAACCGACAGAACCGAAACTCTATAACGTCAAATGCAAGCACATTCACGGGCTCAAAAGCGTTGCGGACTACATTTCTAGTTCTGGGAACTGTTGTATTTTGCTGGGGACCCTATGCCATTTCTATTTTGTTAGAGTCGGAGCAAATACCGGTACGATATGAATTACAGACTACTTTTGTTATGGTGTCGTGTTCAAGCGCTCTTCTCTATCCTATTATCTACGGGTTTCACATAAGAGTGATCAGGCGAAGTATCAGGCGACTCGTAGCTTCTATCTTACTGTGCGGCAATGTTGTTCGGCGTCCAGCGAGCAATGCCACGTTCATTGTCTCGCCAACGGCTTCTTTCAGAAATAGATCAGTTTCGGATGGTTCTGTGAATTCGTTTGACATGACTTTTTCACCTCGGAGGGAAAGCGAGAGTCTTGGGTTGCCAGCTATCAAAGAAGAGTTTGAAATCGAGAACAAACCCAACAGAACTAGATCAACGGAAGTCACCGATTTGGAGTTCTGTAACCTTCCAGGAAGTGTGGATTGTTAAATCGGACAAATTTTAATGAATTGTTCGGATTTTAGGCAAAATAAAGAGATATTTTAAATGTTACAGATTTCAATCTCTTTTTAAGACTTTAAGTCCTCATCAATTTTTCGCAGGAAAGTTGTCATTTCTTCATTAATCTCTGTAAAGTACCGAACCGTTCACTTTACACTGTTCCATTTTTAAAATTCAAAAAATTCTTGTGACTTTGTGAAGACGAGAAAGTGCGAATGAATAGCTTTCATTTGTGAGGTCAAAGTTTCAAGTTACATCTGGAGAGATATACAGCAACAAAAGAAGTACAACGTGTCAGTAGGTTTTTCGTTCCTTTAGTTTAAATTTTCGCACGCAAAGTCTTCCAATGAAAACTGAACTTTTGAGGCATGGCGAAATTGATTCTGCTCAATGACGTCTCTCGTAAACTTTGAAAATACACGTGTTGACCAAAAAAACTTAAAAAATAGTATCGTGTTTATCACATTATTCTAACAGCCGCATACCGGAAGTTGTCTGGGTGGCCTGTTCACGCCATTTTGGCGCCTGTGCATGTGAAATACTTTAGTTTAGGCACGTTTCCCGGAGATTTCACATCATTTGTTTGTCAGCAAGACCACCCAAACTGACCAAACCTGAAGTAAAACGGATTGAAGAAGGCGTGCGCACGGATTAACTCTCTTATTTATATTTCGACCGGATCAATCGAGTATCAAGGTCAAAAGGAACGTCAAAACAGGCTTTTCACATGGCAATGTTTGAAGTGCTTGGGCCACCGACAGTTTTTTGGGGGTATTGGTTAGTGTTTACTGCTCTCATGTGTTGATTAATTCCTGGTAGTTTTGAAACTGGACTAACGTTAGCCTGTCATGTTCCAGGCGTTCAGATCGTGGGGACATGTGTTCAGATGTGAGCAGACACAGGCTAGGCTAACCTTCATAAAACTTGCTTAAAACAGCAAACTGGTAAAACGTAGTAAAAACGCAACCTCGTTCCCAGGGTTCTCTCCTACCCGCCCGTAGGGAGAGAAACCTGGGAACGAGGTTGGTAAAAACTCTTTGCTAGAGGTCCACGCGACGCGTAAATAAAACTGACTGGTTCCTCTTGCCGGATCTCTAATTTTAAAAAGAGATGCTGTAGCCAGACGTCACTTGATGTGTAATATAAAAGAAAACTGAACGCAAGGTTGGCACTACGGCAAAGGGCTGATTTCATATTATAGGCCAATATTTCGGCTAACAAACGAATTAGCCTTCTTCAGTGCCAGAGCAAAACCGAGAGAAAAAAACAGGTATAGCTCTGGCCCTGAGGAAGGCCAATTTCGTTGGCCGAAATATTGGCCTATAGTAAAGTAGCCCTTTACCGTGGTGCCAACCTTGCATTTAGTTTTGGTAACAACGTAGTGTTATAGGGCTCTCTCTTGCTTCTTCCCGTCCAGTGAGCATGCGCTAGTCTATAGTCATAGGCTCGGAGGTTGTACCTCTTTGCCGAGAGGCCATGAAAGTTGCACTCGGTCATTTTTTAAAATCCACGTTTTGCTAATAATGTCAAAGGTTTATCCGGTCGCTTTTACCACAATTTATTATCTCTTCCCGGAACTGTTTAATGCAAAGCCCATGTAAAAAATCACAGAGATTTTCCCAACGGATTGCGGGGGTTCTGTTTCCTTTG